ACTGCCAAATTGGAATCGGCCTACGGCCTCATCCAATTTTGTCAGTCCTCGGAATTTTCCTCGTCCAATTATTTCTTAATTGGACAGCATGGAGTCCTATTACATATACTAATTCGACGAAATTTCGTCACAAGTTTCATGCAGAAGTGACACAAATTAAAAAAAAATTGGAGTATTAAATTCAGCTAAATAAAAAAATCGTGAAATTGTCGTTTTTCTGTCCTGTCCTGAGTAGCTAAATTTGTTGTTTTTTCTGTAGTTTATACGAAGCATACGCCGATCAGTTATGGCAGACAGCGGTAAGTACTGCAGTGTATAATGTTACCGTTGCCGTGYGTTCAGGGTTCTAAGGGCATAGCATAGTGAAAGATAATTAGATTTTATTACCGCCATAAATGATAGAAATAAAGCAGGTTATGTTAACTATAAGCTAAGGGATGGACCATTAGATAGTCGTGGGAATTACAGGAATTTATGTTGCACGATATATATTTTTTGTAAAGACTTTTGAACGCAATTTTGTTTGTGTTTGCTCGATATTTCTTTTCTGAAAGAAGAGGTTGCGCGATATTTTTTTCGCGATATTTTTTTTGGTAGTGATTGCTCGATATTTTTGGGGTATTTGCCCAACCCCACCCCCCTCAATTATCTAATGGTCCATCCCTAAGTTTACACCTTAAACATTCAACTACTCCTACCTTAGCTTGCGTGCAGCCGAACGTAATTGTGGTTAAGTAAGGCAGACTGTATGCAGGCTACTCCTTTCTCTTTGGGGCAGTATACAAGCTAGAACTTCGAAGCGAATTCAAGAATTTGAATGATTAATTACAAAAATGTATGTGGAAGAAACCAAAAATGCTTCGGGCCGGTCATTTTGTCGCAACATGCTTTGCGCGCCGCGTTCACCGCTCAGCTGATAGTACATGCACACGATTTTCGTTTTGCGCACGACCGACTTGTTTAACCGTCTTCTCTGGAAATATTCTTCCTGTCATTTTTTTTTCAATTTCCTGATAATCTTAATTTTATGCTTAATTTCTGAATCGATTATAAGAGTTAAGCCTTTTAGGAACTCAATGTTATAAGGTTATTCAGCGTTGTTCACTTGACCTTTGGTCTTGTCTTTCCTCACGAATGTTATCTTTCACGTCACGTAGGCTTATCTCAGAAGACCCACCTGCGCCGCTTACCCAAGGTAAATGTTAGTAAGACCACCTTTATCCTTGATAACCTGCATAATCCGTACATATGCCTCTGTAATTCGACCATTTGTTCCTAAGAAACCTTCATTGTTATACGACCACACCCTTACCCTAAGTAACCTCCAAATCTGTACAGACACACTTGTGGAATACGACCACCTTTACTAAAGAGAGTATGGAGGAAGCTTTTCAAACTCTCTTGCATTACCTTAAGAACCCTTTCATAATCCGCACAGATACCTTTTTAATTCGACCATTCATCCTAAAAAAAACCTTTATAATTCATATAGACATCTTTGGATTATAGGACCGCCATTACCCTAAGTAACCTTCAGATCCGTACAGACACACTTGTGGAAAACGACCACTTTTACCCCCTCCATAATTCGACCATTCATCCTAAAAAAACCGTTATAATTCATATAGGCATCTTTGGATTATAGGACCACCCTTACCCTAAGTAACCTTCAGATCCGTACAGACACGCTTGTGGAAAACGACCACTTTTACGCCCTCCATAATCCGAACAAACTCTTGTGAAATACGACCACTAAAGAACAAGATCTGCAATTTCAGTATTAACTGTSTGACACCTTTTTGACTAAAATCTGTTATTTTCCCCCTCAGTTATGAAATCGCATACACGACAGGATATCCGGTAAGTCGACTGATAACTAAACATGGGATCCCTGTGTGCAAGTAGTTTGAGGGAGGACTGGAGCACTTCAACCTCTAGTACGCCTCAAAATTTTAGACTCATGTTTTTAAATTTTCTTTGCCTCTAGGCAACAGCAGCATACGCCGCTACTCCAGCAGCCTACAGAACACCGATAGCWGCCCCTCCCCCCTCAGTAGCCTACACTACAGGATTCAGATATGCTCCTTACTGATTGAYATAGACAGACAGACAAACACACACACGATAACTCACTCATCCATTCAGCAATCCTACGTAATTTTAAATAGACTAACGTTTGAAAAATATCATATGTATCTATATTTACGGTAGGTTTGTGGATCAAACAGAAATGAGCCCGCGAAGAAAGGGCGTGCGTCGTTGCGCCGTCCCTTCGTTAGCAAAGCTCGCTCTCTAAAGCCTGGTTCTCCCTAGCATCGGAATCGCAAGCAACGGACGCAGACTCAGTAGTGTATGCTGCTCATTAACAGTGCTTTTCTTTTTTAACATGTGATACTTAGTCTCCGATTCCGATTCCCACGCTAGTGTAAACCATGCTTAATATTCTGTTGAAGAAGGAAGTTTTTAAAAAAAAATATCTTGATCATTATTATCGTACTAAATTTTTTATTGTGCATTTCGGGGGTTCCTTTCTCTCTTTCTCTCTCGGAGTGTGATTCATGACCATAMTGACATAMCTGTATAARCCTCGCATAAYATAGTAATACAASAGAGCATAAATAAGAAAGGGAAACTTCTTAATAACGCGCGCGCCATGTMAATTCCCGGTTGGGCTATTTTTAGAAACCGGATGGAGTTTAAATTTCGCCTTACCCTACTCCCGTGCGTAATCAACTTGCTCGCGCGCGCTCTTTCCGTTTGTTGTTTTGAACGTCGTTTTGCACCTGCTCGTTTTGATCACTAGAAACGAAACGGAAAGAGCGAAATTTAAACTGCATCCGGTTACTAAAGGAAGCCCAACCAGGAATTTACATGGCGCGCTCTTTATTAAGAAGTTTCCCTTTCTTATTTATGCTCTCTTGAGTAATACCATTTCTTAGCACGTCTATAGAGGTAGTATAGATTCAATGTATAGGCCCATTTTCTTCTTYCCTTATGAAGTCTTGATACAACTAGCAGGATCCTTATGTCTTAGCCTGTCTCCGAGGAGAGAAAATGATTCTAGTAGTAGTGGATTAAAGCCACGAGAAGACACCAGTTTTTAACGCTCTACTTTCTTTAGCACCCTTTCTTAATTCTTGTCAATATTGGCGCAAGAAAATACAAACTGGGTTTATCTCCCAAAATAAAATCAAAGTTATAATATCGCGCACAAATATGCGAAGCAAAAAAATGTCTGTTCTGTTTCAATTATTGAGCTACATGTGTGTACCTCTTTAAATTTCATTTTTAGAAAATATTCATTAAATTCTATATAAAATTAGCCTGTCGACWCGGACCACTAGTTACTATCGTGTAAAGAAATTTTTAGTGTCTATATTCGAACTTAAAGTAAAATATATGTAAAAGCCACTTAGTGGCCAAAGTTTCATCTGATTAATTTTTGAATTTACTGATCACAGGAACAATAACCTGCTTAAACTACACARCGGTTTAATGTTAGCGCATGCGTGTGGCTCTTAAGGCACGGACGCCTGTTTTTCCCGCCATAAGTTACTCTTTAGAAATAATTTCGAAGATAGCACATTGTAACACATTCCAAAAGTGTTTGGGAATCAGCTCTTTATTTTCTTAATTTACTCAAACATTTTAAAAAATCTTATGACACCATATAATTCAGTCTCACATGTTTTAAACCCTTCAGTGCATATTCAGTTTCAACCAATAATATTTGGAGTTTGGGATACCTGTGCTGGTGGARCCCACGCATGCGCTGACTTGCACCAAACTGTGTAATCTTTTAGTCAGAGATCTCGACTAATATTCTATTCAGTACCTTGACTTTTGATGTGTAGAGGATTTCGAAGTATTTGAATTTTTCAATATGAACCATTTGTAATTAGTTCTTTCTTATTATTAATGAAATCTGTAATAATAATAATAATATATCCTGTAAAAATGGAATATATTACCAAAAATGGCCAAAAACAAATAAATGTCCTGAGAAAATAAAAATCGTTTTTATCAGCGCGCATGCGCTACTAATTCTCCACCTTTTAACACAGGAAGTCCACGTTTTCCCTTTTAAAATTAAAGTTGTACAGTACGGTTACCCTTATTGGCTTCCGCTTTCACATAATCAAAAAGCGATAATGGTTATRAATTTTAGCTATTTACTTTGCTTGAAGGTTAAAACCTTTTGTATATCATAGGACTATACGTTTCCTACCAATTTGATATTGCCACGTACTTTTTTTTCTTCCATATTTTTTCTTGCACAGCGCCATTATAACACAGGAGCCCCAAGCGTAGATTTTTCAAAACAATTTTAATAAAATTCTTGATAAATTTCTCAGTCAAATTTTTAAATACAAATTGTAAGAACAATCTTTCCACTTAGGCTTAGCTTCAAGTTTTTTGAATTTCCGGGACTGAGCAAAAAGYATTAATTCTGTGAATAGAAAATCGAAATGAATATTGCATAGAATAATAATGACAACTGAGATATCAATCTTACGATACCAGTATCCATACAATTGATGGGTGTTATTTTTGAACGCTAAAAGAAGCGTGATACGTGCGCTTCGTCTTGTGCTCTAAGCAGCTGTTGACAACTTAGTACTTTTTTTAGCCAATTCACCAATATATTACATAATTAAAACTTCTGACTGACTTATAGAGGCAATTTCTTTAAGTATAATTGTAATTTAAGAGACATGGGAATAGTTTGGGGGGGGGGGGGGGGGGGGGGGGGTGGTTCGCAATCTGACAACTGGAGGGGCCATAGCCTGCGTAGCCAGGCGTTCTTTGTGGGTTTTGGGGGGGCCAAGCCAAGGGCTAGAGGGGCCAGCTAAATATTGACAGGTATCAAAAGAAGGGGATGCATACAGTACCATCCTTTAGTAAGGGAGCGTCATAGAAAGGAAGCAAAAAGTGGGAGTTAATCGTAATGATTTGACAACAAAAATCCTCTCCCCTCCCACTCCAAACAACAAACAATGACCGGTGCCTAATGTCTGTTTCTGGAAGATGTGTTGGCGGCAGTAAAACTCTTTAGGAAATGAACAGAAAATGATAGGAAATAAGCAGCTAGTGTTGGATTCGGTTGCTCATAAAAACCGTACATTAGAGCTCTGGATAATTTCGTAATTATCAACACCAAGATTTTTAAGACCGCTAATTGAAAGAAAAGTCGAAAAGGAAATTCGTGGAAATGAGAAAATATTAAATGACGTCTCAATAAAGCGGCACTGAAAAAGAAGATAAAATGAGAGTGGAGCTCGAGAATGAAAAAAAGAAACGAAGAAAAAGAAAACTGAAAAGAAGGAAGGAAGGAAGAAAAATGATGAAAGAAAGAAGTAAATATTAAAATAGAAGGAAAGAAAGGAAGAAAGGGAACAAGAATCAGCCACTCCCCCCTCCCCATAGTCACCGATTGTCCCACTAGACTCCAGTTCCCATGTGTGTTTTATGCAGTTGACAAGACTGTTTACGAAAGGAACTACAAGAAATCCGTCTCGTAACTGTATTGAATACAAGAAAAAATGTCTTCTAAACCAAGTCAGGAGTTAGTCAGTCTTTTCAAGGAACTCAGAGAAAAAGCTCAAAAATCTGGCGTCTGTACAGAAGACATAAAGAACGAGTTCAAAAGAGGTGTTAAAAGTCGACCAAGAAAGACAAGCTCCAAAATAACCCTCTTTATAGTGTTCTTCATTATTCCTGTAGCTCTTGGTATTGGAGGTTATTTTTCTTCTCGATACCTCATGGATCTTTGGAAGGATGATTTATGCCTCTTAAATGTTAATGAAATTTTCAACGAGGTCGCTCGAAAGCCAACAAACTGTTCACTAATGTGCGAAGGACAAACAGAAGTTCCTCGACTTTCTGGACTTACAAGGCACAATTTTATCGAAAATTACGCTTACAATGGTCGCCCTTTAGTCGTTACTGATGCAGCTAAGAACTGGTCAGCTCTAGAAGTCTTCAACTTTTCGTTTTTTAAGCAACTTTACGATAGGAATAATGGGTCGTACGAAGTTAATGAAGAAGAATGCCAATTCTTTCCGTACAAAACCAATTTCAGTTCACTTCGCGAAGCCTTTAATATGCCCAAAGAGAGAGCTGAACTTAAAACTGAGCCTTGGTACTTTGGATGGTAAGTATTAAGAACCTTAAAGCTTACTTTATTTATTTTGACCACCCATATTTTATTTTTTTATGATAAATAATTTTGTTAAAAGAAAAAACGTACGATCCAAGGTATATCAGCTGCTATCATCAGCTGTTCTTTTAAAKATATTTTATCTCGTGTTTTTATCTCTGTCATATTAATTGGTATCTTTTTAATATCTAGATACATATTTATATTCCTTTAGGTTTAAATATTTAAAGCTTACAGATGTATATTATATTTTACCTTAAAATTAGGGTCGCAAACATCGGAGAATATTTTACATTTGAAGTTTTTTGAAAACCATTTATTTGCTTAATATTTTTGATCATTAGCTGAATTTTTCTTTCAAATTCTACTCAAATTTTAGTCAAGCTTTTTCTCGTTATRACTTGTTTTTTCCTTGGTTTTGAAAAGTATCTCCACCTCCTTGAAAGCTTAGACTACGTGTATGCTCAAAAAAGAGTATATAATAATAATTGACACCTCAATATTCCTTAAGTTTTACTGTTGTTAATGATCATTCAATACTTGAACAGATGTTGCGTTTCGTCTTCATAATACAACCTACAGAAAACTTGACACCGTATGAAACATTATTCATTTATTTTCTTTCTTTTTGTTCTTTTTTTTCCAGTAAATTATTTTAGAAATCAAAAAAAGCATTTTTTTTTGACAAATCTTCGCTTGCTTTATTTTTTTTACATCTTACATTGTATTGTAAACCAAAAATATTTTGATTTTTATTTTAGAAAGGCTTAGTAATGGAWATCCTTTTTGTGTGGTATCATGCAGCTTAATTGTCAATAGAGCAAGAARCATGAAAGCATGAGAGATATTAAGAAGGAAAACAAAAGGATTTGCTKATGAAACATCCATAAAGCAATTATAGAATGAGCATTAATTTGCATGAAAACTTTAGCCAAAACCATATGGTAATAATGTTTCTGGTATATTCAGTTGAATTTTCAATGCCGTTGTCTTTTAGTTTTAAAGGAAACTTTCTTTGATTTTTCCCCCCTGAAAGTCTTTATCTGGTATGCCAAACGCTTTCTTATGATCATGAAGTGGATGAGAAAGTGAATAAAAAGAGTGAATAATAATTATCTTTACCATAAAACTTCAAAATTTATCGAACCCTAAAACGACGTCTGGGCTGATCAAAGTCAAGGCACATCTAAACTAAATCAAATTTAGTATGTTGTTTTGCGGGGAGAAGAAATTTTAATAGCAGAGAAACCACTAAGAAAAACCCTTGAATCAAGGAAGATACCATTCTTAGTTTTTAAAATACTGATGGCAAGGTGTAATAGCAATCTCTGCTGGGCATCGTTAT